GAACCACACCAAGTTTATTCATGAACTTGCGCATCATACAGCCTCCTTTGCTGCTTTTGAAGCGGCAATATATTCAGTTTCTGTAGTGGAATCGGCAGTAGTTGACTGTTTGGAACTTTTCCAATTGATTGCGCCTCCATTACCATGCATCCACTCGTGCTTCTGCTCAGTCTTGGGACTCATTTCTTTCAAAAGATAAATTCAGTGACCGCTGGGCAAAAAACCCCTTTTGAAGTCTTGCATGTCGAACAGTTTCAGTATCTTTTCTATGTACATCCTTTGAGATAAGCCTATTAATTCTTTCACTCTATCTCTATGGGTACGATTCCTAGGATGTAGGGCGCTTCTCTTAAGTCTTTCATGGAGAAAGTTCTGGATAACCACATCTTAACTTTAGTCATCATTAGACCTGGCAAAACGGGCAGGTGGGCCAGGTTGGGGTCGGGTCCTAATGAGTACAGGTCTCATGGGTCTAAAACGGGTCGAATTATATGGGTCCAAAATATTAGACCTGGACCCTACCCTATATGGGTACAGTGGACCCGCAGGTGCCCATTTTTTCTCTCTCCAATTTTTAAAATTTATAGTTACACCCCTAAACTTCTTACAATTTTCATTTTTTACAATTACACCCCCAGGTAAAACTACTCCAAATATTATCCTTGATTAAAACAAAATGTCTATTAAAAATTCATAAATAATTTTCTACTCAACCCAAAGTCAATCCCAGATTCCCAAGTCTATTTTACTGCATTTATTGTTTACGTTTCTCCAGAAACTCAATTACTCAAACTTCCTCCTTTGAATATCCTACTCAACCCAAAGTCAATCCTAGATTCCCAAGTCTATTTTATTGCATTTATTGTCTACGTTTTTGTTAGTCGCTGATGGGGTTTGCATAGCGAAAATAAAAAATAAAATCCCCAACAATAAAATTGAACCCAAGAACCTTATACCTGATTTATGTTATTTACATATGAAATGATATTGAATATAAAATTTCCAGATTTCATACCAACGTTTGGAGGCTCCTTCAATTGATACGAATTGCTCCCACTCTAAGATAAGAGTGAACTCTCGGTATCCGCATGAAGACAGGATGGCGATCGACTTGCGGTCTCAAGTGGTAGCAAGACACACAAGCAAAAAGGATGCAAAATTTTTCTTCAAGAAAAATTCTCTTTCCCACCAAGAGAAAAATGTGAGAGAGAGTGAGATGAGTGGCTTGGATTTAATTAATGTGTTCTTCTTGTTTATTTTAATTTTAAGTTGCCTTTTATATGCAACAAAAATTAAAATCCTAATCTAGTTAGGAATAAATTTATTCCATGACTAGAATAGTAAATCCTCATTACCAAACAAGGTAATAATCCACATGACATCTTATTCAAATTCAAATATAATTTTCATATTCATATATTATCTTTATTAATATCATCAAATATTAATATTGAATATACATTTAAATTCAAATAAGAATTTCATATTTTATATATTATCTTCACTAATATTAATATCACATCAAATATTAATATTAAATAATATATATATAATATTTAAATATATAAATATATTTAAATACATAATCTCACTAATTTTAATTTCAATATGAAATTAAATATAGGCAACAACCTCAGCAAATTTAATTGCACTGTGAGATTACCAAAATGCCATTTCATCTCAAAAGATGAAAATATCCTTTCCATCATAAATGACGAAAATACCATTTCTCACCAATTCATCCTTAATCCGTCTTCTATTTGTGTGACCAGAAGGCTCCTCATCATATTGGCAGTGAGTAGTCTCGCGATTGACATCAATCAATCGTCTCACTAAACACAGACCAAGATTGGCCTCTAGCAAGGCATCATAGACACCCGATAGATTCAGATTTAGCGAAACAACTTGCCTATCAATGATATGGTTACTGTGCAATCCGATCATTTCATCATCTGTTATCTCATCAAGGTTGAGGTACAAAAATAGTGTCAACCTCAGTTATCTTCAATATCTTTGTATTCAGTTACTTGACCAATGACCGGAATAATAAATTGGATTGAGCAACAACTCAATCCCACTGTGGCCACAACTTTAGTGTCATTGCCATTCACTGAATTGCACCGTGAGATAACTTGTCCTGTACCCAAGAGTGATGAATCCTTTGTCAATCCACCATAGTCTTGATACACTCCTTGATGTAGCCAATCACTACCGTATTGATAGCTCTAAATAGAACTATGTTGGGTTAGTGTAAAACTACACCAATCGGTGCACAAGGCGCTCCGGTGATCTCAAGTCTAAGGATCACATGCACCACCATTCGTTAGAAAATTTATTCCATAGACACTAGGGTTACCATCTATATGGAATCCTCTAATGGATCTATCCAGTGAACTTGCCTACAGCAAGCACCCATGTGTCGCATCAGGTTGTCGGCAAACAACCTTGATAAGTGAGATCAGTCACTGTCTTTCGACAGGGCCGTTCAACACTATGATAGCCTTACCGTATTATTTGCGTCCTTAGTCAGAATAATACTGGGGCTACGGACATTTCTAGAATGACCACCATATGTGATCATAGGGTTCTCACTATCAAGATTTGAAACACTTGATACCCTCGTCACGGTTTTGCTATCCTAAGGACTTATATCAATACACACAATTATGATTTACATGATATAGAAGAAAATTGCCTTCTATTTATTAATAAAAATTATTTCAAAGAGTCATTTCTACAATAATTAATTGGCTCTAGGGCACCTACTCTAGTGCATTTATCGTCTACGTTTCTCCATAAACTCAAACTTCCTCCTCCGAATTTTGCCATAACTGCAAGTTCTTCAGCACTCTCATCAACACAAGAAGTGAAAATCACTTTTGCGAAAGAAAAATCTAGTTGTGGAGACAGGAGAAGTAGAGATAGGAGTGGACAATGGAGACAGGAGAAGCGACGCTGATAATCCGTGGATTATACTCTTTTTATTAGACTTTTTAGTCGGATTTAAGATACTTCTTAGTTCATTTTGACCGGAATTGCTACTTAATTCTTTATATTTTGTGTTTTAGGCTAAAATGGACATTTTATGCAAATAAGAAGCGAATTGGAGTTTTTGGACTCAAAAGTGAGCGGATTTCAGAAGTTAGGAAAGTTTTGAAGCAGAGTGGATGCACTATGAAGCTTGTTTCCTTGAGGAGAGTGACGAAGATCGAAGATTCAAGCAAAGAAGCAAGCGGAGGGGAATTCTGTAATTTCAGAATTCCACATGAAGGTTCACCACGACGAAGAGAGTTGCGCACGAGGGATTAATTCACTTCTTCGCCGCGACAAGAATCCTTCTTCGCCGTAGCGAAGTCTGCGAATTCCAAAAATGCACAGTTTCATTTAGGCATTTTTCTAGGTTTTTGGGTTGAGTATAAAAAGGAAACTTAGTCATTTTTGTGGGGAGTTGGTTTTTCAGTAGAGAGCAGCTTTTTACATTTTTCTTAGATTTGTTTTGGGCGAACTTTGATTGCAAAGGGTGAAGATTTGAGATTAAACCAGTGGATTCGTCATTTGGGGAGATTTCGTTTCTTTTCTCTTATTTTCATTATGTTGAACTTTGGATTTTTTCAATTCTTTTATTTTTATTGTTGATTTAGTCATGAACTAACCTATTTTTGGTTAGGGTTTTGATGTAGTTTGGATTCTAATAGGTTAAGTAATTGTTTCATATGATTTTGCTTTGATTGTGTGATTGTTCTGAAATTATTGTTTTTATGTGATGAACATGATGAGATTGAGAAATAATTCATGTTAAGCTTCTTGGGTAATTACCATTGTAGTATTAAATGCTAGAGATAGATTTAAGAATCAATGAAATCAATCTAGGATTCTTGTGCTTAATGAACTTTGAACTTTTAGTCTTCATTTTGTTGGGTGCGGAAGTTAATAGGGAATAGTAAGGAAGTATAGCCTAAGAAGGTATATTTTATACTTTAGAGAGTTTGATTTACAATCAATGCATGTGAATATGGAACTAGTATAATCCTTAGGTTTAACCCAAAGAATCCGAATGAAGTCAAAACCCTACCCGTTTGTTTGAATTGATTTTATCCGTGTTTTAAATCTTGCTTTCATAATTTAGTTTTGAATATTTAGAACATTTGATTTAGTTTAATTTAAAATTCTTCCATAAATCCAAACAACTCGATTGCTCCAACTTGAAAACAATAGAAAAATTTAGTGCTTAGCCACCAATCCTCGTGGAAACGATACTCACTCATCACTCTATTACTTGAGCGACTAGTATACTTACTACATTTTGCATGTTGTAAGAAACACGAATCAAGTTTTTGGCGCCGTTGCCGGGGATTGAGTTTTGTGTTAACATTAACATTTTCTTGTGTTAACTAGATTGGAGTGTTATGTTTACTTGATTGTTATTTGTTTTTATTTGTTTTGTTATTTTTCTTTGTTAGGTGTGATTTTACTCTTGCTATTTTTCTGTGTAGTTTATGCAAAGAGCAAGACGTCAACCAGTGGTTCCTGTTGATCCTGAGATTGAAAGAACCACTCGAAGATTGAACAGAGAAAGAAGAGAAAGAGAAGCTACAGTTGAACCAGAAGAAATAGTTATAGAGATGGTAGAGAATAGAACATTGAGGGAATTCTCAGTTCCCACAGTTGAAGGCAGTGGGTCGAGCATTACAAGACTACCGGTCCAATCCAACACTTTTGAGATAAAACCGGCAATCATCCAGATGATCCAGCAGTCGGTCCAGTTCAAGGGTGATTTGAAGGAAGATCCCAATCTACACATTGCAAATTTCTTGGAGATTTGCAATACTTTCAAGTCTAATGGAGTGTCAGATGATGCAATCAGATTGAGACTATCTCCATTTTCATTGAAGGATAAAGTTAAGGGATGGTTACTGGCACTACCAACAGGAACAATCACCACATGGACTGATTTAGCACAGAAGTTCCTGACCAAGTTCTTTCCTCCAGCAAAGTCGACAAAGTTGAGAAATGACATCACGTCATTCATTCAAGAAGAATCAGAATCCTTGTATGAAGCTTGGGAGAGATACAGAGAGTTACTGAGAAGGTGTTCACATCATGGGTTGCCAGTTTGGATGCAAGTCCAAACATTTTATAATGGATTAACGGTGAATGTACAAACTATGGTGGATTCAGCCTCGGGGGGAGCATTACAAAATAAGACTCTGGAAGAAGCTTATGAGTTGCTTAAGGTTCTGGCAAGCAACAACTATCAAAGACCTAATGAGAGGGTGCAACCGAAGAAATCTATGGGTCTGCATGAAGTTGATGCATATACAGCCATTTCAGCCCAACTGACAACACTTTAGAAATAGTTGGGAAGTATGCAGGTAAATTCCATTCAAGCTCCTTAACTAACTTGTGATTTTTGTGCAGGTAATCACGTGAGCAGTGAATGTCAAGTAGGGAACATGTTTGCCTCAACATCGTCATCATCAGAGCAGGTTAACTACTTGGTTGGAAATCAAAGGCAACAGAATAGTCCGTACTCCAACACATTTAATCCCAGTTAGAGGAATCACCCGAACCTATCTTGGGGCAATCAAAACTAACAGAATTAGCAAAACAATCAATGGAATCAAAGGGCATTGCCAAATAACCAAACAGGGGTAAACAACCAATAAGGAGGTTCAAGAGTGACAAAATTGGAGGACATGTTTAGGAAATTCATGCAAGAAACCATGGGTTTTATGAATGAGACGAGAACTAATTTTAGAAATCAAGGGGCGTCCATTCGGAACTTGGAGGTACAGATGGGACAATTGGCTGAAAAGCTAAATGAGAGACCACGGGGTGCTCTACCAAGCAACACAGTGACTAACCCACGTGAGCAAGCAAATGCAATAATTTTGAGGAGTTGGACAATTCTAGAAGAGGTGAAAAAAGAAGAAAAGCCACCTAAGGAAAAGGAAGAATCTGATGAGGAAGGAGATGAAGAGATAGTTACTGAAGAGAAACCATCTATTTCAAGGGAAGAAGAACAGAAACGGGAAGAGAGGCAAAAGAAAAGAAAAGAGAAATTGCCATTTCCCGAGATTCCACCAGAGTTAGCACATCACACTCCACCCGTGCCTTTTCCTCAGAGATTGAAGAAAAAGAATCAGGATAAGCAATTTTTCAAATTTATTCAAATATTAAAAAAACTGCATATTAACATTCCTTTTACAGATGCATTGCAACAGATGCCGAGCTATGCGAAATTTCTTAAGGAAATTTTATAGAACAAAAGAGTGTAGCGCCATTCTTCAGAAGAAGCTACCCCCGAAGCTCAAAGATCTAGGGAGTTTTACTATTCCTTGCATTATAGGAGACATTACTTTTGATCGTGTTTTATGTGACTTAGCTGCTAGTATTAATTTAATGCCCTTTTCTGTTTTCAGGAGATTGGGAATTGGTAAAGTGAAGCCAATGACCATGTTGTTGCAACTAGCAGATAGGTCCATAAAACATCCGAGGGGGATAGTGGAAGATGTGTTGGTGAAAGTGGATAAGATAATCTTTCCAACATATTTTGTTGTTTTAGACATGGAAGAGGATAAGGAAATTCCTCTTATTTTGGGCCAACCATTTTTGACCCTGGGAAGAGCACTTATAGATGTGTAAGAAGGGAAGTTACTACTGAGAGTTCAAGATGAAACAGTAACTTTCAATGTCTTTGAGGCTATGAAGTTTCCATCTGAATCGGATTCATGTTTTAGTGTTGATGTGGTGGATAAACTAGTAGCAGAATCTATTAAAGAGAACACTCCACAATTACCTCTAGAAGCTTGTATTGCCAAATCAAAAATAGTAGAGGTAGATGAGTCGACAAGTAATGAATGTGCTAGATTGTTGGAAGCACTTCAACCGATTGATGAGAGCCAAGATCGAGAATTTGAGGAATTTGACTTTGAAAAAGAGAAGGAAAAGGAAAAAAATGAAGAACCTCCACAACTTGAGTTGAAACCTTTACCTTCCCACCTCAAATATGTGTATCTTAGTGAATCAGTAACCTTCCCAGTAATTATTAGTTCAAGTTTGAGCAAATTGGAAGAAGAGCGGTTGATTAGGGTGTTGAGGGAACACAGACTAGCAATTGGATGGACTATTTCAGAAATTAGAGGCATTTCACCATCATTTTGCATGCACAAGATACTCATGGAGGATGATATCAAGCCTAGGGTGAAACCACAGCGAAGATTGAATCCTTTGATAAAGGAAGTGGTGAGAAAGGAGGTGGTGAAACTCCTAGATGTGGGAATAATTTATCCTATTTTTGATAGTCCATGGGTTAGCCCGGTACAAGTGGTTCCGAAGAAGGGAGGTATCACGGTGATAAAGAATGAGAGTAATGAATTGATACCAATTAGAATGGTCACGGGCTGGAGAGTGTGCATTGATTACCAAAAATTGAATGAGACGACAAGGAATGATCATTTTCCACTTCCTTTTATTGATCAGATGTTGGAGAGGTTGGCAGGGCATTCCTATTACTATTTCCTGGATGGGTATTCAGGGTATAATTAGTTTGCCATCGCTCTTGAGGATCAAGAGAAGACGACCTTCACTTGTCCATATGACACCTTTGCTTATCTAAGGATGCCCTTTGGGTTATGCAATGCACTAGCCACATTCCAGAGATGCATGATGTCGATCTTTGGAGATATGGTGGAACGGTTTATAAAAGTCTTCATGGATGACTTATCAGTTTTTGGTTCATCTTTTGACAACTGCTTATCTAATCTTTCTCTTGTTTTACAGGGATGTAAGGAGACGAACCTGGTGCTAAATTGGGAGAAGTGCCATTTCATGGTCCAGGAGGGAATAGTGCTTGTTCATAGAATTTCAAAAGAAGGAATAGAAGTAGATCGAGCAAAGACAGAAGTGATTGAGAAGCTACCACCACCATCAAATGTTAAAGCAATTCGAAGTTTCTTGGGGCATGCGGGGTTTTATAGACGACTCATCAATGACCTTTCTAAAATTTCTAAACCCCTTTGCAATTTGTTGATTAAAGAAGTTGCTTTTGATTTTAATGATGAATGCATGCATGCCTTTCTAACTCTAAAAAATTTATTAGTATCTGCACCTATTATTGCAGTTCCCGATTGGGGACTACCATTTGAATTGATGTGCGATGCTAGTGATTTTGCTCTAGGAGTAGTGTTAGGACAGAGGAAAAACAAAATGTTGCATGTAATTCAGTATGCTAGCAAAACACTCACTGATGCACAATTGAATTACATCACCACTTAAAAAGAATTTTTGGCTTTGGTTTTTGCTTTTTACAAATTTCTTTCATATTTGTTAGGTGCAAAGGTGATCGTCTATACAGACCATTCAGCACTCAAGCACTTATTGGCAAAGCAAGAAGCGAAACCTCGGTTGATAAGATGGATCCTCTTACTTCAAGAGTTTGAATTAGAAATTAGAGATAAGAAGGGGTCAGAAAATGTGGTGGCAGATCACTTGTCGAGGAGTGAGAGACCAATCTAGGGAAATGAAGAGGAATTTCTAATTAGAGAAACATTTCCGGATGAGAAATTGATGAGAGTGGATGAAGCACTATGGTATGTAGATTTTGTGAATTATTTATCATCCAGGGTGCTCCCAATTGGAATAACTTTCCAACAAAAGAGGAAATTCTTCTCAGATTTGAAGTATTACTTTTGGGAAGAGCCATTTTTGTACAAACACTGCACTGATCAAATGATACATAGATGTGTCCCAGATGAGGAAATGGAAAGCATTCTACGGCATTGTCACGAGAGGGAAGTGGGTGGCCATTTTGGAGGAGCTAGGACAGTAGCAAGGTTTTTCAATCTGGGTTTTATTGGCCAACCAGATGGTTCAGGAGTGCGACCAATGTCAACGACAGGGTAATATTTCAAAAAGGGATAAGATGCCGTTGAACAACATCCTTGTGGTTTAGCTATTTGATGTGTTGGGGATTGACTTCATGGGTCCTTTCCCAAATTCTTTTGGGAACACATATATTTTGGTGGTGGTGGACTACGTATCAAAGTGGGTGGAAGCAGTTGCATTGCCGTCTAATGATGTCAGGGTAGTGATTAATTTTGTGAGGAAGAATATTTTCTCAGGATTTGGAGTACCAAGAGCAATCATTAGTAATGGAGGATCGCACTTTTGCAATAGGTAATTAGACGCTCTGTTGGGAAAGTATAGGGTAAAACATAGAGTTGCAACACCTTACCATCCACAAACCAGTGGGCAAGTAGAACTGTCGAACAGAGAACTAAAGGGAATTTTAGAAAAGATAGTAAATGCATCTAGGAAAGATTGGTCACGGAAATTGGATGATGCATTATGATCCTACCGAACTGCATTCAAGACTCCAATTGGTATATCTCCGTTTAGAATGGTCTATGGGAAAACGTGTCACTTGCCGGTAGAACTTGAGCATAAGGCATACTGGGCAGTCAAGCAGCTAAACATGGACTTAAGAGTTGCTGGGGAGTAAAGGATGCTGACATTGAATGAACTCGATGAGTTCCATCTTGAAGCATATGAGAATGCTAGAGTGTACAAGGAAAAGACCAAGAAGTGGCATGACAAGCATATCCGGAAGAAGAACTTTGAAGTGAGTCAGAAAGTGTTGTTGTTCAATTCTAGACTTAGGCTTTTCCTCGGAAAACTTAAGTCTAGATGGTCCGGACCATTCACAGTTACAAGAATTCACTCATCCGAAGCGGTGGAAGTTACACATGAAGAAAATGGCACTTTTATAGTCAATGGACAGAGATTGAAGCCATACATTGATGGGGTGATGAGTTGCAAGTCCATCCCGATCCGACTTGACATTCCGACTTGAGGAATTGAGAGAGTCAAACTTTTGACTATAAACAAGAACTCATTGGGAGGCAACCCAAGTGTTTTCATTTCTTTATCTTTTCATTGTTTTGTAGTTGTTTAGTTTGTGGTTTGATTGTGTTTATGAAGTTTAATTTGTGTGTTGTTAGATGTTTCAGGTGAAATTGCGAATTAAAGGGGAAAAACTAAATCTTCCAGTTTTCGCTATAGCAAAGTGTTCTCTTCGCCATGGCGAAGCAACTTTTGAAAATATTT